AGCAGGTATCTGGGTTTGTTTGGCTTCTATAATTGAAACACTGTTACAGCTCCAGCTCTGAGGCCCGGCCGGCTGAAAGCAGGTTTCTGGGGTTTGTTTAGCTTCTATAATTGCAACATTGTTTCTTAGAGTGCAGCTCAGAGGCCGGCAGCGGCAGGCGGGGAACCTTGGCTTCCTCCATCACTGGAGCAAGCAAGCCTCCTGTTCGCTTCAGCTGCCTGGCTGCCGGCCGCCATCTTGGTTGGCAGTTAATTTGCATATCTCGCTGATTAGCCAATGGGAAGGATAGTGAAGTTACGGTTAATTACCATGTTTGTCTATTATTAGATAGGATAAGCCAGGCAGTGAGGGGCCAGTACAGTGGTAAACAAGAAAGACAAAGTCCTGCTTTAGGACTGTGTCTAAATCAGGAAACAAGTAGAGAAATAAATAATATATCACATTTAACACAGCCTAGCATAGCATGGGTATTCTCTCATTACCTAGCGTTTCTCTCCCATTTTCTGCCTAAAATGAGTACATTTTAATGATAATTTATTCTGTTCTACCCATGCAAACAATCTTTGAAATTCTTACTCCCTATGTGTCATGGAATGACTTGTTCTTTCAATGTTTGGCAAGGTTAGAGACACTGGTAAACATTTCCCTTCTCTCAGATCCCTGAGTGTGGGATGTTAAAAGGAGGTGGTTGGTGAGCAAGATAATCTTCTATGTGAGGTTTCCCATCCTTCAAACTTGTTGTTTCATTTAGTCCAGGTTTCTCTGTGACTTAAAGCAGAGGGCACAAGCTAATTGAGAGTATATTTTGTTTGATTCATGCTGTTTTTTTAAGTTTTTTTTTTTTTAACTAAATTAGTTGCCAGTGTTTTAAAATTTAATTTATCGCTTGATTTTAGAGAGAGGGAGAGAGAAAGTAACATCAATTTTTTTGTTTTGTTTTTGTTAATCCTCACCTGAGAATATTTTTTTTTCCCATTGATTTTTTTTAGAGAGAGTAGAAGGAAAGGAGGGAGGGAGAGAGAGCGAGAGAAAAACATCAATGCAAGAGAGACATCGATTGGTTGCCTCCCACATGTGTCCCAACCTGGGCCAGGATGGAACCTGCAACCCAGGTACGGGTTATTGTACTGGTTGGTGGTAATCCAACCTGTGACCCTTCCATGTGCAGGCCAACATTCTAACCACTGAGCCAAACCAGACAGAGCTGTAACATCAGTTTGTTGTTCCACGATATATGCACTCATTGGTTGCCTCCTGTATGTGCTTTGACCAGGGATTGAACCTGCAACCTTGCCATATTGGGATGATGCGCTAACAAATTGAGCTATCTGGCTAGGGCAATCTTTTAAAATTTAAATAAAAATCTGAGTTTCTGGAGTTTTGAAAAACTAAAGTTTGGGAACATTGACCCACATCCTTTTAGGTGAATATGTCTGGCCCCTGTAGGTATTTGAATTTGGAAGGGGATAGAAAATAAGTCATTTGACCTATGTTTCTCTGTCTCTCTCCCTTCCTCCCCGCTTGTCCCTAAATCAGAGACTCATTGCTTGGCTGTGCCTTTAATTTAATCTTTATCCTCACAGAGTTACTCTAATTGCTTTTCTAAGACAGGAATTAAATACTTATTTCTTTATATTTTTACTCTGTGTGGAGTCTACTGGTGTTGGAAAGCCATGCCACCTCCTTTTATTCCCAGAATTGTTATTCACAGTCTAATGCAGCAGTTCTAAAAATATGGTCTATAGACCTATGAGAGTCCTAGAGACCCTTTCAGGGAGTCCACAAGGTCATAATAATTTTCATAATAATACTACGATATTATTTGCCCCTTTCACTGGGTTGACATTTGCATTGATGGTGCCAAAGCAAAGGCCAAAGATGGTGTGTAAAATTGCTTGTACAAGTCATTGTACACTGCAAGGCATTTGCATTAAAGAAGAAAAGAAAAAAGTCAGTTTCACTTAAGAATGTGGGGTGGGGGCTATTCGGGGGAGGGGGAAGCTGCCAATCAGTGGTTCTCTCATTGTTGACCTCCCTCCCTTCCTTTCTTTCTTATATTTTTAATCATTGTTGATGTTTCTCTCTCTCCCTCTCCCTTCCTCTTTGAAATTAATAAAAATAAATTTAAAAAAGAATTTCCATCATGATGCCCTGGCTGGTGCTCAGTTGGTTGGAGCATCTTCCCATACAACCAAAATGTTGCGGGTTCGATTCCTGATCAGGGCACATACCTAGGTTGTGGATTTGATCCCCAGTTGAGGCATGTAGGGAAGCAACCGATGTTTCTCTTTCACATCGATGTTTCTCTCTTTCCCTTCCTCTCTCTCCAGTCAATGAACATATCCTTGGGTGAGAATAGAAAAAAAAGAATGTCCGTAATAAAGCAGTAAATATTTTATTAAATCTCAATCCTTGAATACATGTCTTTGTAATGCTCTGTGTGAAAAAATTGCAAGTATGCAAAAAGCGCTTATGCTGCTTGTGCTACTATTTGAGTTGCAAGCTGAACTAGCCTTTTTGTTTTTGGTGGAAGGGTAGAACACCAGCTTTACTTGAAAGAACAACTGAAAGATAAACTGGTTATTCAGGGTTGGGAGTTTGGTAGATATTTTCTCAAACATGAAGTGAGCCAAGGAAAAAGTTTTTTACTTCAAGGAAAAAACTGACAGTATTTGCTGCCAATGATAAAACGAGTTTTCAGGCAAAAAATAGAATTCTGGGAGAGTTATAGCTATTTCTTTGAGTTTGACAACTTTCTAATAGTTAAAGAATTTTCCATGAGATTAGAGGTGCTATTAAAGAGTGTATTGTTGTTTTTGGTTATTGTATGATGAAACATGTCAGTATTTGGAGCATCTGCATAAGTTGTTGAACCAATATTTTCCAAATGACCATGCTTGGTGTTATGAAATTATGTCTGGGTAAAAGAGCAATTCATAGTACAAAATTCATAGTGGAATTTAAGTAACAGAGATTCCACATTGCAACTAACCTTTAAGAAACTGCCCCTTGTTGAATTTTGGTATAGTATCAAAGAGCAATAGCCACAATTATCTGATAAGGCTATATTGAAATATTGCTCTTTCCCAACTGTATAACTGTGTGAGGCTGGATTTTCTTCATATACAGTAAACAGAAAAACATAGACTAGATTGACTGCAGAAACATGTATGGAAATCCAGCTCTTTTCTATTAAGCCAGACATTAAAGGAAAAACAATGTCACTCTTCTCACTAAATTTATTTTTTTGAAAATTGTTATTTTTTCCTAGTATGTTATTCATGTTGACATGTAATAGGTTTATTACTTTGTAATGAATTAATATTTTAAAATTATCTCAGTTTTAGTTTATATCATGGTAAATAGCAATAGCTATAACCCACATAAACAAAGTCTCTTTGGGGTCCTCATTAATTTAAAAATGTTCAGGGGTTCTAAGACCAAAAATGTTTGATATTTTCAGTCTAACAAAATAAACTCAGCTATTTAAACCTTCTAAGGGAGACTGCCCTCACCTCCACTGGGGCTGTTACTATGGGTGCTGTCTGGGAAATAACTTCCCTTAGAGCCCCACAATGAAGTAGAGGTGAAGTCTGCCCATTACTTTATTTAGTGGCATCTTGCTGGGCCTCCAAGCAGCCAGGCCTCTCCCAGCCCCATCACCTTTTGTCCTTAATGGACTTGGCTCCCAAATCTGTGGACTGAAGTGAAAGTTCTCTCAAACTTGCATAATTACAGAGCTCCAGATTGGAATGAAATGATTTTTGTTTTGTTTCTTAAATAAGTACAAATACAAAATTAGGCACACTCCATTTGTTCTTATACAATTACAAAACTGAATTGCCGCTATAACTTAAATGTGATGCTTCCTTTTGGGCTAAGTTTGGCAAACTTACCTTCCCATCCCCACCTCCACCAATGATGAGGGCCCAATTTCCTCACCTCCTTTGAAACATTCATCATTGTGTTCCTAATGTCATTTATACTTCATGTGGCAAGAGTGCATCATTTATATATTAAGTCTTCTCCTTTCTCTTCATCAGCCTGAGATAAAGTAGTACTTGGTGTGAACTACCAGTAGATCCTAAACTCTTAACGCTGCCCCTAAAATCTTGTCATGGATATGTAGATGACTCAGAATATTTATACTTTAAAAAACACTTATCAGAATGAAACACTAATTTTAAAAAATTATTGGAGAGAACTCATGAAAATATGTGTGTGGACCTCAGCTTGAATAACATTTCAGTAGTTAAAGACTGGAATCTGGAATGACTGACCTGGTTTGAATTTGAATTTGGACTCTGCTATTTATCATCTGTTTTTGTGCACTTACCCAATCTCTCTGATCCTCAGTTTCCTCAGCCTGTCCCTCATGGTTTTATATAACCCTGTCTCCAAGGGTAGCTGTGAGGATTGAGATACAGCATATGAAACATCTGGCATAAACTTGGCATTTAATAAATTTCCTTTTTTTCCCCAAAATGAAATCTTGGATTAAGCTTGTCCACTAATAAGGAGGCAGAGGTAAATCTGGGACACTTTTGAAGGCAAACAAACGCTGTAAGAAACACACAATCTAGCTTTGTTTTCCACAGCAGAGAGGCTAGGTTCTGTCTTTGGGCCCGAGTGAGAGGTTGAGGCTGTGCCATGATGTAGGGCATGAATTCCAGTTCTGGGGAGGAACATGGCCTGGACTTCTGAGGCCTTGATCTCTGAGTCTTCTCTGGCCTGTCCAGGAATATCCCCCTTCCAAAAGAAATAAATCATTCTGCTTTTTAAAAAAGTTCATTTTTAGAGAGAGAGAGAGAGAGAGAGAGAGAGAGAGAGAGAGAAAGGAAGAGTGGGAGGGAGAGAGAAATACCAATTTTTTGTTCCACTTATTTATGCCTTCATTGGTTGATTCTTGCCTATGCCCTGACCAGGGATCAAACCCACAACCATCTGAGCTACTCGGCCAGGGCAAATCACTCTGCTTTGTGCTTCACTTACAGGGAGCAGAGCTCGCTCACGCTACACGCTGCTTCACGCCTGAGGATATCAATGGAAAAGCCCCAGTCCCGGGCACAGGCATGGGCCTGGATATGGACGTGAGCTTTATGGGGCTGCCACTAGTTGACCAGAAACACAGCAGTAGACAAATGGAGGCTGTGGTACTGACTTGCTCGTTGTGCCAACAGGACCTGCAATATGTGGGTGCCTGGCTCCTCCCCTGCCAGCATTTGATCTGTAAGGACTGCTTCCAGGGCTTGATCCAGGAGCTAGGGCAGGTTTCCCAGACTCATGGGACTGTCCCAGAGGGTAAGTACAAAAACAGGACAGGTTCACCTCCTTCTATATAACAGGTTTCTCCTGTTTCCGAGGAACTGAATTTCAGGTGTAGAAAAAGAATCAGGATTTAAGTGCCCAAGGGACAGTCATTGCTGAAAGCAACTCTTTGGGGAATCTCTGAGACAAAACAAATCCTCTTGATACCTAATATATCTGTTTTGTAAACTGGGACTTTTCATGTTTGGGATTTCCTTAAATTGGTGGCAGACCAAGAAACCAGGGAAGGTTTTGATCCAAGGTTTGGCTGACTCCTCAGATGGAAAGGAGGGTCCTGGCTCACTAAACTTCCGAGGCAGGGAAAATGGGCTGGGTTCCTAGGATGGGTCAGGAATGGATTTTGAACAGACACACTGACTAGTGAACCATTCACCACCTAAGCTGCTGCCCGGCAGGGAGGAGGAGCTTGTGTCTTGCTTCTGCATTTCAGGTTTCCTAGGAAACAATCTCCGTGAGAACTGCAGGTCCTTGGAGACAGGAATCAGGTCTCTTCGTTTCGGTATTGTAGCACAGGGCAGCGAATAGAGGTGCAACGAGTATTTGTTGAATGACCTTAATAGGAGGAGAAAGTCAAATAAGTTGACACTGTTTAGAAACATCATTTTTTATTATCAAAGTGATTTGTAGCACAAGTCTAGGCTCTCTTTGAGGCGGTATAACTTCACATTTGTCTTTAGATCTGAATTTTGAGCCCTCTAAACTCTTGAGCAGGCTACCTAACCTCTCTGAGTCTCTGTTGAGAGTTTGGAGCACAGAGAAGATTTGGTCTACTTTGAATTTTTATATTAATATCTGATTTTTAAACGTATAATTTAAACTATTTTTCCTTAAACTTTTGATTTTTATCTTTAAAATATTATTCTGTTTATAAACGGCAAATTTTAACATCGTCTTTAAGGGCCTTTCATTAATATTTGAACATATTTACAAGCTTAGTATTTGCTTTTATAAATTAAATGTATTTTCTTTTTAAGTAATGCAATTGTCTAGCAAATAAGCATTCCTAATTACTTAAAGAACTCTTAGAAATCCAATAAATTAAATTTATAAATATGATGAATCTTAAATATATCTTAAAAGTTCCAGCAATGTTGGGTTAATATCCAGAATATATAAAGAAACCCCAACATCTCAACAATAAAAATACAATCCAGTTAAAAATGGCAAAGGACCTATATAGACATTTCTCCAGACAAGATAAACAAATGGCCATTAAGCATGTGAAAAGATTCTTAATATCACTAATCTTAGGGAAATATAAATCAAAACCACAATGAAATACCACCTCATATCCATTAGCTATTATTAAAAAAAAGAACAGAAAATAGTAAGTGTTGGTCAAGATGTGGAGAAATTATATACTGTTGGTGGGAATATAAAATGGTAAGGCCTCTGTGGAAAACAATATAGTATTTCCTAAAAATATTTAAAAGCAAAATTACCATATGATCCAGAAACTCCACTTTTGGATATATACCCAAAAGAATTAAAAGTGGAGATTCAAAGAGATATTTGTATACTCATGTTCATAGCATTATTTTCCATAGCTAATAGGTGGAAGTAATCCAATGGGTGAATGGCTTAAAAATGTGGTATGTACATACAATGGGATATTATTCAGCCTTAATAAGGGAGGAAACTCTGACACATACTACAACATGAATGAATCTTGAGCACATTTTGCTAAATGAAATAAGCCAGTCACAAAAAACAAATGCTCTAGGATTCTACTTATACAAGGTACCTAGAGTAGTCAAATTCATAGAGACAGAAAGTAGAATGGTGGTTGCCAAAGGCTAGGGAAAGGGGATATGGGACTTATTGCTTAATGGTATAGTTTTAGCTTTGCCAATTTTAAAATGAGGTGGTTGTTTTGGGGTGCCTTTTTGTTCTGTTGATAGTGTCCTTGGATGCATAAAAGTTTTTAATTTTGATGAAGTCCAATTTAACCTATTTTTTCTTTTGTTATCTGTAATTTTGGTGTCATATCCAGGAAGTTATTGTTAAATCCATTGTCATGAAGCTTTTACTCTGTTTTATTCTAAGAGTTTGATAGTTTTAGGTATTATGTTTAGGTCTTTGAGCTCACCTATGATTTTTAACAAGAACTAATATGCATGTCTCAAAGTTTTGTTTGACTCTAAAATCAGAAAACTAAATTTATACTAATGACAATAATCAGAATCATAATGTTTGTTGCCAAGTTTCCAAGTGCAATGGAGACCAAAATCATAAGCTTTGTGTCATTATATCTGGGCATCTGGGTCCTAATATGCCTGCCACTTAATAGTTAGATAGCCTGGGCAAGTTCTCTTACCTGTAAAATGGGTATGATGATAGTAGTAATTAACTCAGGATTATTATGACGATTAAATGAGAACATACATATAAAACATTATGTACTTTGCTTAGGATATAGTAAGAGACCAAGAAATGTGAAAAAATACTATTATTTAGAATTTGTGAAACTGAAAAATATCTGTTAGATGCAAATATGATTGTTTTGGAACCAGAGGGGCAATTTCTTGAATATATTGCATCTTATATGTTTTTGTATGCCCTATGGTCTGAGTAGGCCATTGTTACCTTCCATATTTGCATTTATGGGTGAAGAGTGGAATAATCTTCTTCTACTGGTTGGAGGTTTTAGGACTCTGTGATGATGTGTGGTATTTGTTGGTTTGTCTGTCTGTCTCCTCCACAGGCATTTATTGACTTTTGTGTACTGAGCTTTATGGCATTTAGGGTACAGATATGAAAAGATAGGGTCCTTGCCTTCAAGGAGCTCATACTTTATTGAAGGACAGATTCCTAAAGAGATGGCAATCATCAGTGTGGCAGGGATGTGAAGAGAAGATTATTTCAAGTCCAGGCAAGGGAACAGTACCTCTGAAAGGTTCGTCAGGCACCAGGACTGGTGGATATCAGTCGCTTACTGAATGTTTCTGAAGGACTAAAAGAATGGCACCCAAATGAACTGTCCCATAAAAAGAAGAGCTGTCACCTATTTCAGGTAAGTCTAGTGAGATACCCAATCCCTGAACATAGATTTCTGGTTCATAATTTGGGAAGCCATGCTTTGGGAGTCTGGTTCTTTGGAAAGAACTTTTAGTACGGCCACTTGATCCAGCAGAGAAGGAGCACAGACTTGCTAAAAGGTTTATCCTATTTCTGCCAATCTGGGGTTTTCAAAGGTAAAATATGGGAGAAGGTAGCAGATTATCAGATCAGCTCAAATTCAAGTTCACTTATCCTCAAAGCTTGTGATCTACACTGTAGCACTTTGCTTGGGGAGATTCCGTGCTCACTAGAATCCCTGAACTGATGGGAGACTCCATGGAAAATCCTTGAGGAAAGAACCAACTCCGCAGCCTGAGTCATCAGGTGCAAATCTTTAATTAATGCAGACATAGCCTAGCTGAGATTCTCCCCAGCAGCTCCATCACACTAGGAAATGGCTCTGCATCAGGTCTCAGGGCTCTGAGGAAACCAGCTGGGCCAGGTATTCCAACGCTAGTGATGGGGACCAGAGCAAAGGCAGTAGTGTGCTTAGCCATGCAGTGGGATGACCGGAGCTGCAGGCTCTGTGAAGAAAGGCTGAATCAGGAGGTCACGGTTTAACTCCTGGTCAGGGCACATACCTGGGTTGTGGGGCATGCAGAAGGCAGCTGATCAATGATTCTTTCTCATCGTTGATGTTTCTCTCTCTCTCTCCCTACTTCTCTGAAATCAACAACACACACACACACACACACACACACACACACACACAATAACATAAAATAACCACCATAGCTTAGAGCTTCCTGAAGCTAGTGACAGGTGACAGCATGTCTGTTGTAAATTGCAAATGCTGAAAGGGGGAGCAATCTCTCCCTCAGTGGGCAGGCACTGGGGCTTTGGGAAGATCCAAAGAGAAGGAACTGATGCAAGATGCTACAACCTCAGAGTCAGAGTGGGAAATGAGGCTTTTCTTAATGAGCAGCTCAGCTGGAGGGGCTCCAATGGCCTGGGGAGAGGGCAGAGGTGGGGGTTGGGGGTGAGGTCTCAGTTACAGGAGCTTGGCAGGCTGACTGCTATTTGCTTGTTCCAGGTGCTGAATAGTGTCCAACTGTTGTGGGGCCAGTTGTGGGTAGTGACCCAGACCTCCCTGGTGGAGGTCAGGTTGCTGAGCTGGGCTGAGCTGGGTGTGCAGCTGTCCCAGAAGCAGGAGCTCTGGAACCCTATCAGCAAGCTGGCTTTTTAGTTCAAGAACAGTTTCCTCACGTAATTGGCTCTCTAGGGCACTGGGACTGGCACTGTGCACCTCAGAACAATACCTGTTACTGGGAGAGCAATTCCTCTGGTAATAGGAAGGAGGCAGGCTGTGTTTTTGGGAAAGGTTATAGCTAGATTTGCTGGTGGAGGGAGTTCATGGTCGCTGTGATTGAAGGACAGGATTTGGAGGAGTCCCTTGTTTGCTGGAACTCTCTCATTCAAGGGGGATCAGTCATAGTTGATACTGTGGAGGATGGAAATCAGGAAAAACCCTTGGAGCTTATCTCTAACCCCTCACTGCATAAATGAGGCATCAGGAGTCCAGAAAGGGCTAGAATCCTGCTTAATATCACATAATTAATCACGTATAGAACCAAAACAACAACAACAACACAACTACACAAAAACAGCTCTCTTGCCTGCCAGTCCAGGGCTTGCCTGGGCTTGAGGGCCAGTAGGAACTGCAGACCTACAGTAAGAACTCCGCTGCCCTTGATTCCCCTACTGTCTCTCTGTCCAGGCCCAGGTGGAAATGGGGACAGTGGCTTTGCATGGAGTATGTCAGTGCATCAGTCCTTGGAAGTGAAAAGAGATAGAGGTGCCACTCTGCCAGATGAGAGGAGCTCAGATTCATCCTACGTGTACTTCCTGCATTCCACCATGGGTTCTTGATCTGGCACAGATAGCTTGTTTCACAGTTGGGTGGTCCCAGGAAC